AACTGGATAACCTCCTCATATGTAAAAATGTCCCTGGTGGGATTCAAACCAACGGCATTGAGGAGCTAGTACTTTGAAGTCAACAAGTTGACCCCTCGGCAACAAAAAAAAGACACAAAGACTATTATCATCAATAAAATCAACTTTATTAAGTCGATGTATCACAATTTTGTTACAAAAATATCACATTGCTTCATTCAAATAGCAATGTAGAATTCTTCAACACTCACTAACAACTGAAATTGGTAAAGCACAGCACACACACGATCGAGAAATAAACAGGAACAATATCTACCATGTTCACAAATTTGAAATCCAAATTATTACATTTGAACATTTGTTCTTCAATACTCTAATTAGTCTAATACAAAACTTTTAACTAATTATTAAGAATTGTAATTATGAAAAATAAAATGCTTGTTGTACCATTAACGTTTAATTTAGATGTTTATTAAAGAACTTATTTTTTAATTACTTTTTAGACTTTGTTCACTGAGTATATACCATACAAATTTTAACTTTAAAAACATCGATTAAATTTTAAGTACCTCATCATTGCAAGTGTAATACCAAGAAAACGTTAACACGGAACTAAAATAAAAATATAAACTAATAAAGTCAAACTATGTTAAACAGTAAAATAACTATAACTTTCATACATTTCTATTTTAAAAATCGATTCAGGAAATCTTTTTTTCTGTTCTAACAGCAAAGAAATAATTGAAATAACTGTTTAATAACTATACACTAAGACATCTGAAAACATCTCTATCTGAGATTAAATTGAGATTCTAAATCAAATTAAAAACATAAAGGAAGGATTCAATTAAAAACAAACACAAGTACAATAAGCAGTCACCATTTAAAAAGCAGACGTGATTTTTTTAAAAATAAATGACCATTTAACCATAACCGTGCTTAAACCGAAAGTGATCAGCCTTTCCCACAAGTAAAGAGCAAAACCAGCCTGCACATCCGTGTAAACTGACAAGGCCCCTTTCTGTTGGGTGAGTTACTTGAATGTTATATCTTACAATCCCTATAACTGACAATGGACAGTTCTAAACTGGAAGCTGGACGAGTCCATTGTAGAAAATTAAAAGGTAAATGAGCCGCGTCATGACAAAACCAACATAATGGGTTTGCGACCAGCATGGATCCAGACCAGCCTGCGCATCCGCGCAGTCTGATCAGGATCCATGCTGTTCGCTATCAGTTTCTCTACTTGTTATAGGGTTTGTAAGCGAACAGTATGGATCCTGATCAGACGGCGCGGATGCGCAGGCTGGTCTGGATCCATGCTGGTCGCAAACCCACTATGTTGTTTTTGTCATGACGCGGCTCAAATGGTTCTAAAGCAGTTCTTTATACCAACGGCGATTTTTTTTCTAAACAAAAAGCAATTTGACATTTAAAATCCTTAACTGATTTCTTTCTGTACTATTTGCTAACAAATGTAGAAACAGACGATTAGTTTAATGCCTCACTATACATGTATATCTATCTCCCTATAAGCGTCATCAAAAGCTACAAACAGCTACAAACAGTTTTCACACAAAGCTTACATGTAACAAAATAAGTCTTCAACTAAATTACATTGGATGACAAAAACATTTTGACTTGATTTTTTGCTGATACTTTATATGTGATCATATATATGAAAGAAGATAATGAACATGCAAATAGCATAGGATTATAACATGTTATAAATATTAGTTTAAGATATGAGATTATGATAATGTGCGATGCTAGAACACATGTTTTTTGACTATATAGAAATACTACCCCCCCCCCCTTTTTTCTTGTTGTGTTAATGCAATGCATTGTTTCGATTTTGATTTATAAACTTTCGGCTGTCAATTTAGGAAATTACAAAAGGAAGATGTCGACATGATTGCATTTTCTACTGAAAAACGTTATCAATAAATATTTATACCCATAATGGTAATTAACATTCATAAATAAAATATCAACAGTTATATATTAACCACATTCTTTATAAATTGTAGAAAGAAGTGCAACATCGACTCATGGATTGAAACATATCAATGTCTAACTTTCTAAACAATATATTGCCTAACTTTTGTAGCTACTTGGCATAGGATTTGCGTTTAAGTTAAAAAGGATTTTGTAGAATTCAATATCAAGTCACAAATTTTAAGTATTGTGCCTGATGTTTGCATTAACTCTAGAGAAGGTATGCTACACAGGCGATGTATGAATAGCTTATATAAAATTATACTTCTGTTTTTGAAATCAAGAATGAGAACATCCCCCCCCGCCCCCAAAAAGAATAAAATAAAAAATAAAAAAAAATCCAGAATAACTCTCAGAGTTGATATTTATATAAATGGGAATAATGCCTGTGTTGATGCATAAATTTTAAATAATTATAAATTCAAATATACATTTGTTCAAACTGGCACAAAGTAACTAGTTAACGATTAAAACCTTAATCAGTAAATAAAAAAACAAGTTCAATGTAACATATCAACAAAAGGACATATAGTGAAATCTTAAAATCTTAAATAATATGACTTAAAAAGTGTTGCCTTACATTTCGTTTCGTATCTATCAACTATTTTAATTTTCATAAACAAAGAATTGATTTAATACACACAGAAAGCAAATTTTATATTTAAAAAAAAACAATTTGTCATTTTCTTATAAAGAAAAGTTATGTTACATTATCTAATCAATGTAAAAGAAAACCATGTAATCTGTGACAATGAAATCGACATCTGGGTGGGTTATTAAACAAAACCACGACTCAACTATTGCGCCCATGTCGATACAGTTCTCATTAAAATGTCAGTTCTGTAATTATAAAAAACTTTGATTAAAAATAAACATTTGACTTAAACAAAGAACAGCTGCGGTAAATCGATTTTAGTGAAAGTTTTAAATTAAGTTCTGAATTAAAACAAAACAAATGATAGACACTTGATAGACAGTATGAAAAGAAATATGCTGGAAGATTTAACACGGCATATCTTACATGTTTGTGTTCTTCTTTTTTTCTACACACACATACATAGCATACCAGATGTTACAATATGAAAGATGGGTTCTATACAAAAACAGCATAATTGTAGAATTACAGAGTTACATGTTAAATATGAGATTTCTTAAACGAGCACATTTACTAAGTAAAATTTGGCATTCAATAAACAATTATGAACAGAAATAATTAGCACATCTTAACAAATATTAAACAACAGGTAAAATATAATAATAATCTAGATACATATATGTACAGAGTACAACATAGAATAAACAATTTCAAGAACGAAACATATTTCCCCAAAGTCCACAAAGAGTTTACCAATATTAATAAAATGAAAATATAATTATACTTATGAGTCTACATTGTTATATATACATGTATATTGTTGAAATGATAGTCAAACAGTTAAAATACTGTGGAACTGGTACAAAGTCATATTTACTGATATTCGAAAAAAAAATATGCTAAATTTATACCGAAAATATTGAATTTAGGAAAGTTTTTCAAAATCGAAATTTCGGTCTAATTGAATGAAATTTTAGTCTACAAAAAAATTTTACTTTTACCTAGATAATCTGGATTTGAATTTTTACCTATGTATGTATGTTTAAATTATATAATATAAATACAAGCACACAATTTATATTATAATGGACGAGCATACAAAACGAAAACGTAGGAATGTTCATTTACAAAATATGTGGGCTACAAAAAATATAAAAGCAGTTAAAGGAAAATGAATATGACATGTTCATACACAGATATGTTGTTTGTATGTTACACTTTTGTTCGTTTTCTAATTGGAAGAAAAATTGTGTACATTAATGAACACATGAAACAATAGTACCAATTCAAAATTAAACCAATTTCTAGACATAACCTAGACATGAATTATACACATTTAGTTACAAGACATAAACCTAGATATCACCTACAACAAATTTTGTAAAAACTGTAACAAAGACTTGACATTTACGTAATATTTACCAATCATTTACCAGCTATAACTTAGTTTTTATAAACCATTTTTCTGATTCAACCTGACTTATAAATGTTAACAAACTTAAGCCTAGACATAACCCAGACATGACTTCAACTTTTAGATATAGCCTCAACATTACTGGTAAATGTAAATAAAATAATGTTTCCTTAACATCATTTTTCGACTTTTTATTTCAAAAAAATAAATGATTAATTTAACAATCAATATTGTTTTTTAAACCAATCTCTAGATATAACCTAGACAGGTAAAATAGATGTGTAAGCCTAGACATAACCCAGACATTACTTCAACTTTTAGATATAGCCTCAACATTACTGGTAAATGTTAATAAAATAATATTTCCTTAACATGATTTTTCGACTTTTTATTTCAAAAATATAAATGATTTATTTAACCATCAATATTGTTTATAAAACCAATCTCTAGATATAACCTAGACATGTAAAATAAATGTTTATCAATAGAACTAAGTCATGAAATCTCAGTGTACATGTAAAAATGTGTATTAACAGTTTTCTAGATGTTACCTAGACATGTCTAATGAATGAGTAAATAAACCAATTCCTAGATAATCACCCAACCTAGACATAACTTATGTTTATAAAACCAATGTTCTGATATAGCCTAGACATAAATATGTATAAACAAACTATTAGACATAACCATGTACTCGTATATATGGAAGAATGAGACTTTACAAGCCCTTTAAATGACTGACATGTTCACATTTATGTATCTACTAGTTACTTTAGTGATACCATTCACACCGGCTTTATTTGGTTCCCATTTTCACTGAACAAACAAAGGCAGGACAATGATAATGATGGGGAACCAGTATCTGTAAAACATGCAGATCGGCGACATAAGACGATCTGCGTCCCAGCAGATTTAAATCTACATGAAGTGTATGGGGAAATCATGATTTAAGTTTGGGTTCAACCTTTAATTTACCTGGAGATCTTATGACATCATGTGATTGAATAAAAAATGATGAAATGCTTCAAAGGCCTAAACTCTGATTAATATAAATTTATATACATGAACATTATCTAAAACATATTACCTTTTTAAGAACTTTACAACCTTTTTAAAATAATCAGTTTAATGGGCAAAAAAAACTTTATATTATATAATTTTGTTTGGAAAAAATCAGCTTTGATCTAAAAATGCTTGAAAACCCCTGGAATAATTATAGTGACAGTTTAGAAAGCACTTTGTTAGTTGACTTTGAACAGACCAAAATAGTTTAGTTTTGGCTCGCGTACTATCAAAGTCAAATTTGAGACTTTCACAAATAATTCATCGCCTTGTCGAAGATGGAATACAGCTCCGAGATAGCTAGTATACTCCCCAAAGGCTTTGTTTTGGCCCCAGCACTTGGTTATACTGTTTTGTATCATAGATTCCTCGCCACCATGCGGGTATATGATGTTGTATCTGTATATATAATGAGACAACGACTGCGAGCTATGCTCTATGCTGTTAGGGTTATCAAATACCTCCAGGAATGATAGCTGGCTGTACACATAGTACAGACCTTCTTCTAAAATAACCACTCTACCGTGTCGGTACTGAACCTTGCTGGTGAAGGCGAGATCTTCTTGACTAATCCAATGTGAGATCGGGAATTGTCGTCCAGGTACTGAAAAGAAAATCGCGTCAACAGTTATAACACAGGCTGATGTGTTTATCAATGTTAAAGGTCAAAACCATAAAATACAACACACAATGACTTGTTTTGGGCCTCTGTGGATGAGTGATTAAGGTCGCTTACTTCTTATAAGTTACCCTTCAACGCTGTTGGTTCTAATCCCATCAACCTAGCTTACAAAAGGTCGGTAGTTCTACCCACTCAGGTACCCGCTTAAAAAGTAAACGAGAGTGCGCCACCAAAACTCCGTCATATGAACTTTACAGTGTCGGTGTGACAAAGAAACAAGCAGACATAGTTTAATTCAAGGTTTAAATTAAATTACGCAAAATGCATTTTGTTTGTCAGTGATTCAAATATTATAGCCGGTTGTATCTACACTAACCTGTACATAGGAAATAACGTACAAATATCCAAAACATACGGCATTTTTAACAATAAGTTGTTCAAAATGTCAGAATCACATTGTTACTTTGTTAAGTGAACTATTATACGCCAGTTTCAGCCAAACTAACGTACATTACCATTTAATTGTACATTTTCATGACTTTCAAGAAATTTAATATTATGTATCATACGTACCAGTTGGCTGTTCTGGTTTCCGGACAGATCCCATCAAATGCGCCGCAGGTTTCATTTCACCAGGTCCGGTGTCTGTGCTGGAATCTATCTTGATGTTACCTGAAGTATTACAACAAAGTACGAGCATTATGTCTGATTCAACTATAATATAGTACCATTTCCATTATTTACTGCTCAAACTGTATTGTGCTCTGCATGTTGCAGACACAATTAATGTTTAACCGCTCATTGTTAGCCGGGTTTTCCAGACACATAACACCTCCACAGAGCAATATTTCAAGGAAAACATTCAGTGTATGAGTTTGTACCTAGAAGGAACAAAATACAAAAGAAAATGTCAACAAGAAAGGGCGACGTTAACTGAACGGACCCAAATCAATACGAAAACCACACAAGAGCACAGTTAAACCATCGTGATCTAGATGGGGAACTTTTTGCCGTATGAAAATAAAACAAGTTGGATATATGGGACAAATAGTCAACGCCATACGGTAATGGTACCCTATTATATATCACATACGTACTGATTATACACCCTATTATATATTACATACGTACTGATTATAAGTAGATTTATAGAAATCAAATTGTATTAGATTTTTTAATGAACCTAGTGCATGTGTACACATGTATAAACCGACGTCTATATATATAATATATAGTTTGATTAATGCAAGGTCTGTCTTCATCATCCTTAAAAAAATACATGTGTAAATGAAAATACAAAGAAATGAAAATGTAAATTAAAGATATCAGTGTCATAACTTTGACGCAGTTTGTCTCTCAAACATGCATTCACGTACCATGTGTTAAAGATATTTAGAACTTTATGTTCTGATTCTTACATCTTCTTGTAATATATATTTAGGTATTTACGTACAAAAGAATATTTACTGAAATCAATATCCTTATTGCTCCCCATAAGAAAAACCGGTGTATACAAACTTATTTTTTATAGGTAAAACATAAGATTGTTAAGAATATTTATTTATAATGTTAATGTGTTTATATTATGTACTCGACATTGCTATATACTTCAAGCATAGTTCTTATGTTACTACAAAGTAATAAAGCACATGTTGCAAACACATTGCCTTATTATACATTTAATTGTGTACTATTGGTACAGTTTTGTAATAGAAATGTTAGCTATTATTTAGAAACATATGCTATCTAAGTCTCGCTGGAATATATTAAGAGTTTTATTCTTTTGATTACGACTTCCAGTAATATTATACAATACAAAGCAATATAGCTCCGAATTTATGCCCATTTATATGGAAATTTAGATAGGTAAATTAAATTCAAAAACACTTTGTTAAAATGTACAAATGAAAAAAAGGTAAATTCTTAAGTCACTTAAAACTCACAAAAGCAACTTTAAACAAAGTCATGTAATTTATTTTTACAGAACAGAACATATATTTTATTATTTATTATGACTTAAGTATATACAGCTCATCTATATATACATTAATGTATATATGTATGAATATGAAAAACGTAATACTTATCAATTAAAATATAATTGAGAGTGTAATACAACATATGTATTGACTTATTCCGTTAGTCACGGTATATACATTGACAAATTCATCTGTATTTTGCATAAAATGTGCAAATCATCAAATGCATTGTGAATTTTTTTATAGATTTCTAAAATTTTGTTTAGTAATGAGTTTGATATTTGCTTTGAAATTTAGTGAAAAGGTACGTGCCATTTTTTTAAAACAGTATAATTATCAGGGGGAAAATGGAAAAAACCGTTGCTTATACATGTATGTATGATACAGGAACGTGTGAACTGTGCAGTAAATGGTAGGAGGTAGAGAAAGACTTTTTGGTAGACTTAAAAAAGGTGACAACATACATATATACATATGACCTTGTATCAAATATATAAATATTCGGTCAGCCACGTTTGCAACCTTTTGGCCAGTGAGTAGATGTACTTAGATTGTAAATGACCAGGTCATACGGGAAGGTCTCCGAATAAATCATTTTGATGTAGCGGTTTTACCGGAGGCAGGGACTGACCGACGTTTGTCTGGACGAACATGTGGTATATCACATGAATCTACTGACCTGATGGGCACATCGAAATAAAGACAATGGATTATAAAACTCCCGAATTCTTTATCAATATGTATATATGAGCCGCGTCATGACAAAACCAACGTAATGCGTTTGCGACCAGCATGGATCCAGACCAGCCTGCGCGTCCGCGCAGTCTGATCAGGATCCATGCTGTTCGCTATCAGTTTCTCTATTTGTAATAGAGTTTGTAAGCGAACAGCATGGATCCTGATCAGACTGCGCGGACGCGCAGGCTGGTCTGGATCCATGTTGGTCGCAAACGCATTATGTTGGTTTTGTCATGACGCGGCTCATATTTTATAGAGAAATGTGAGGTCAGTTAGATGTTGACTATCTTCGGGGACAGGCTTTAAGCAACGTCATCTAAGAATAACCTCAGGTGATAATTATTCAAATTCCTGTACATCATTACTGATACAGTGAATAAGTAACTGAAAAACAGCGTGAACAGTTGTTCTGTAAGTTTCTGTCTCTCTTTTGTTGTTGTTGTTGTTGCTTTAGGTTGTTTATATTGTTGTTTTGAGGGTGTTGTTTTTTATTTGTTGTTGTTGTTGTTGTTTTGTTTTTGTTTGAAAAGAAATGCTACGAACATCGAAAGTACATTTAAATTATTCTCAAGTTCGAGTTACGATAACAATACACAATACAAAGGCGGCGAAAGATAAAGAAAAATTAGTGTTTGTTTTATTAATATTTGTCTCTACAATATAAACGTATTGAAATATTTAAATTATAATAAAGTCCATCAGTTATTTATAAGTACATTAACACACAAACTATGGAATGATGTAATATTGAATCAGTAATTTTATTCATCTTACCGGGATCAAACATCTTGAGAGATTCATACTGTAACACCGATTATCCCTAGTTACGACACTTCTAAAGCTGGTGATATAAAACAAACATAGGGATCCGGAAGTGGTGCTTAAATATGTAACTCTTAATAACATTAACCAAAAATTTCACAAGCTACCTTTTTCCGTTATATAATAAATTCATACTATCGCAAAATTCAAATATCATATTCATAATTCAAAACTTGAAATTATATAATAAATCGAATAATGGTATATTATGTAAAGTGTTATATAAATTATTTAAAGTATAACTAATAAATGAAATGGTTTTCATGCTGGTGAATTTAATTATAAACAGGTGCACAACATTTGGCTGTTATATACCTTCTTTGCATTCTAAGGTCACAGAGATTTGTACAAATCTAAAGTAAATATTGGTACCTAAAGATAGTTTTAACTTGTTTGATCTGGCAGATTTAAGGATCAACGTACTTTCAAAAGACACGTTCCTTAGATAAAATGTTAAAGATAAATATGTGGTGACCAGAATAATAGTGAATTATTTCATTTCTGAATTAAAATGCATTTATAAAGGTTTCTTTATGAATTTAAACATTTTTCCTTTTTAATTTATTATTTATTTATTCATTATTTATTTATTTATTTATTTTTGCCGGGGGTGGTGGGTGTGGGTTGTTTTTGCGAAATAAGCAAAGAACAAACGATAGCCTTCGACAATTAAACAACATTTTTTGTGGATGAATATTAACAATCTTTTAGTGTTTGTATTTGAGTGTTTGTAATCATTTTTTGTCCAATAGAATTGCAGTATTTGAAATGAATCCTTACACATTTACTTACTAGGTAAATCGGCTAAATAAGTAAATCAACAGTTTTGCATAGATAATTTCAAACACCAAATTGATGAAGTGTTGTTTATTAGAATGCATTTTACTACATTTAATTGGTCGAACGGTTAAGCCGTGATCAATTTAATTTTGCAAATGCTTACCTATACTAAAAGCGTTAAATGGAAAACTTAAAAAGTTGGTTGCGAAATGTTTATCAAAGTAAACTGATCAAGGTATTATTCAAGATATCGCCCTCTCAGGAATTTTTAACAGGCAATAAGCTTTGTAGAATAATGAATATTAATGAGATTATCTTATTTCACATTATACAAAAATTAATGCCGACATTATTTTGATGAAAGCGTTGAGGGTATATTTAATGAAGTAATATAATATATGCGGTCATCTGATATCACCTAGTATGTGCGTTATACCCCAAAAATATGATATCTTTAATTATAAAAGTTATTTCGCTTATTCAAAAATTTGACGGCTATCAAAATTAAAGAGCAGGCATTAGATGGCTCAAAGTTAAATCACACACACAAGGGTACTTGTGTTTGATATTTGCTGACAAATTTATGTTTACCTTTCGTTATATTTTTTAATGTTGAACATGAAAATATGACACATTCTTTAAAGAAGAAAAATCACAAATAAATCTGAATTTAATTCACATCTGGTCTTTAAATAACTGGTGTATTTTAATATAACGATTTCTCATCGTACGTAACTCCGAAATTTTGAAAATACAGATGGTGTAATTCTACAGATTTCCAGAGTGTGACAATTAGAGCTGAACGGGTACCACGTTATAGAGTCTGTTTAAAGTTGACTTGCATCCTATAATATTTCGAATCACCCTGTAAATGTATTCAATACATTAGTGCGACGGTGTTACGGGAATACAGTGACTGTCCGGCTTTTCTAGTTCAGGAAGACCCACGGTGCCTTTAATGCATTTCTGTCAGTTACACATATAACTGAAACTGAGTTTAACCACGTTCCACGTTTTAAAGACATTGTTTTGAAATCCCTGCGGTGAAATGCAAATGAACTAACGATCTAATTTTATACTACATGCATTTATAATAGTACGTATAATAAGTTACAAATTCAAGACGATACGTTACAAAGTACAAGCTTAATACATATATTATACAAACGTTTTAATGTATACATTCATTATCACGGGTACTTTTATTTAATTTATTCCACAGCATATATCATTTTTCAACCTTTGATATATTAAACATAGAATAAATGTGACGTTTAGCGCTGGGACAGGAAGTGTCATTTATCTCTTACATCAACATCCGGTTATTCAAAATATCAAATTATCATTATATAT